GGTTTTAGGGTTTTAGCGTTTAGGGCTTAGGGGCAAAGCCTCCAGAGAATGCCGCAGAATGAGGCATCGGCACTGGGTCGTTTCTGGTTGGGTAAGGTTTGGGTTTAGGGTTTAGGATTTAGGGTTTAGGGTTTAGGGTTTGGGATTCGTGGCTCGGTGGGGATGACGGCGTGAATTGTGGCTGCAGGCTGTTGGGCTTCAACCTAAACCCTAAACCCCCAAAGCCCCCCAAAGCCCGAACTCTCAACCCTGAACCCTAAACCCTAAACCCCCAAAGCCCGAACTCTCAACCCTGAACCCTAAACCCTAAACCCCCAAAGCCCTGAACCCTAAACCCGGAGCCGCCTAAACCCCAAACCCTGAGACCTAATCCTCAGTCCTCTGATGCTCTTTCTTAGAAGCTGAGTGATTACACTTTACACTTTTTGGGATACTATGATCCCTTCTAGAACTGAAGGTGTACACTTTTTGGGGCATATAAACTCAGCAACTCAGCTTTGGACTCTGAGGATTGGCAAGGAAAGAGATCCAACATTGCACTTCCCCTACCTTAAGAACCCAAACCTACTTTTTTGTAGGGTCCCTATAAATCCCATATTAGTTTTTTTTTCATAAGAACCTACAAAAAAGTGGGTTTTGGGGTTCTTAAGGTACAAAGCAAACCTCGGATTTTGCAAATAGTTTGGACACGGTCGGTTTTTGAGTGCAATCAGATAGCTGTTTCTGCTGAGGTATGCGCGAAGACCCTATCCTAAGATGTGCCCCTTCCGTTGATCTTATCCCCCCCAAAGCGGACACAAAGCAAATAAGTTGAAACCCCGCATTCCCCGTCCCTTCGACACCCTAAACCCTAAACCCTAAACCCAGGCATCTCGGTTTGCCAGCTTGCACGTTGCAAGATTGCAGTTAGCACGCCCGACCACAACGCCTCAAGGCGTGTGGCTTTTTTCACCTTTGAGGCATTTTGCCATGGCCGACCAGCGCAGCATGACGCCGTCGGAGCA